AGTATCGCACCAACATCTTCCTTGGCTTTGCTTTAAACCTAGCTGCATCCCGATCCTGATTTGATGCCTAAATAATCTGTTTATCTTTTTCTTTGTGCCCAATCTATGGTGGAAGAAAAACACTAGGCCAATTTCATTCCAGTTACTTTTTAACATTCTAATTTCACCTACGTCAGTGAGCATGCTCTGTAGTCGCTCTCACCGTCTCCCTAGAGGAGCAGCACCGAGTCTTCAAGTCTTACTCTACATGCACCTTTTACTCTGCCTAAAACAGATCGTATGCTTTACTTCCCTTCTAAAACATTTATGAGACTTCTGATTGCCTACAAAATAAACTCCTGTGTTGAATGCAAGCCTTCTCATGGTCTTCCTTGGTTAATTGCCATCTCCTGCCTCAGCCAAGTCCTCCTGTGCCTTGTGGGTGCAAGTGAGCAGTACACCAATTACATCATGGGCCCAACAGTTGCTTCCACTTTTATGCCTCTATATTTGCTCCTACTTATCTCCCTTCCTGGAAAGGCTTTCACTGTTTTGACACATTACGATTAATTTTCCTTCATTGGCATTTAGAGGATACTTCATATATGCCTTCACAATTTCTTTATTGCTTCGTGTAGCTGTGTTCATTGTTGAGGCTAGCTTCTAAAAGGCAAGAATAATATGCTCTTTTGCTTTGTTTTGTCCTGGGGTTATCTTCTACAACCATCAGATTAATCAGCACATAAAAGCCCTCAATAAATAGCTCTTAGAGGAATGAGTGAGAGCAAAGAAATAGAATAGCAAAGGAGGTCTCAGAGTTAGAAAGGAGTAAAACAATTTAGACAAAGCTAAAAATATTTTTCTATTGGCCATTAACATCACTATGTTGGAATTGCTTCCATTTGAGCACCAATCTTGATTTATCACAAAATATTTTCTAGAAATACTGTACTTTGCAGGCATCATAACATAAAGTGGAGCTGCTGAGTAATAAATTCCTTAGCATAAATGGTGGTTGAAAGAATAGGTCTGTTCCACCATTTACTTATGTTGCCTTTATCGAGAAGTTGATTAAATTTCTATGTCTCAGATTTCTTATTGAAGAGGAGGAACGTAATAGAGGGACTCACCTCACAGAGCAGCTTTAAGGATTGAATGGCTTTAATAGAGGTAAGTCACTTATCGTGACTACAGATGTAAGCGCTCAGGAAAGTGAGCACTCTTCTTGATCTAATTGAAACAGCCACCTTGTAGGTTCTTGTGACATATTGATAGAATTGAATTTTATCATTTTACCTCTCTACAAGGTTATTATAGAAACTTCTGGGCTATGAAACCTTCCATTAATCACAGAGATTAAATGTACGCATCTCGGAGCTGATAGCTAGAAGTTTAACCTAAAGACACGGTGGAACATCAAGATCACACTTTAATATATATTAGATACTAGTTTTATTTTTAAGAGTAGGAAAACTTATTAAAGAATAGGAATGGGGATAGCTCCTGAGAGGCGGGAAGAGCCCCGATAGGCTGCCCTAAATATTCGATTTAAAATGTTGTGCATCAACCAAGGAATAATCACATCATGTGACTAAATCAACGAAGTGGTGACCGTTCACGTAAAGCCTTAGGATACTTGTTTTCTTCTATTTTCAGGAAGGTTTAATGTGCCTGATGAAACTATAGGCTCTATGTAGTATAATCTTGGTTATTTCACAGTAAACACATTTGAATTCATCTACATTTTAAGAAGAGTACTGGTAAATTCAGTAATCCAACCGTGGTCCTTAGCACTGTGAGAGCACACCTTGACAATTGAAGCCATAAAGGAACATAAAGTAATCTGATGAGAAGTCATGCCTTGATTAATGAAGGTGGATAGCTTCTTAAGTTTCTAATTGTGAACAGCAAAGGAAACGAGACAAAAGGAACATGAAGCCCAGTTGGAGTTCCTTGCATTCACTCTTCTTTCTTTGTTATCTACAAATACAGCTATCTGCAGATTAATTAGATATATAACTTTACTATTGGGAAGGTTTCTACTTAACTGGATTATAAATTTATATGGCATAAATTTTGTTGTACAATTGTAAACTATGATGAAAATTTTGATGCTTTCACTTATGTTAAGTACCATTTTATTAATTTAAATGCAATAATATATCACCCAGTGAAATTAACTGAATTGTTACATAATTCAGCTTCTAATTTTAAGCTAGTCCACTTTTTTACATCATTGGTTTTTATTATGAAAATCCACATAACTATTTCCTTATTCACTATTCTCCTCTAAATATACTTTCATGATTATTTCCTATGCTGAAACTCTCTATCAGGAAATTAAAGTGAAAAACTATTTTTAATGTGAGAAATATGTGAAATTTCAGCACTTATAAATCAATCCCCTTAACACTAAGCAATACTGCAAAGAAATTAACCAGTTAAATGGCTATTGTGTTTTTAATTAAATATATAGCTAATATATCAAATTTTATGAGAAAATGGGGTAGAAATGAAGTCATCTACCATATTTCCTAATATGTCTTATTGGCTATGGAGTGTTTTTCATATGCCCACAAAGAATATTTCTTAGAAATACACAAAGTCTACAAAGTTCACTAATGTTGAAAATACATATGGAGGACTTCAATGACAGTTTTCATAGTGTTCTGTGACTGTTCTAGGCCCTACAATCCTAAGCTGACATTGCAAAATATGATCATACATCATGATTCTCATAACAAGCTGAAAAGAATAAAAATAATATGAGTGAAGGGGAATTAATAGACCTAGAATAGAAAGTTCAAGAGCCACAGGAAGAGAGCAGTGAAGTAGAAGAACACCCAAGCAAAGTTAGATGAAAGATCATTCATTTGAGAAACTCCAGGAAAAAAAAATCGAGAGAGAGCAATACAGAAAAAGTTGAGTAACAGAAATGCCAGTGCCGCTTACAGCGGACAAGAATTCATACACACTGTTCTGACGGAGAAGAGGCAACTGCTGTCCTTTCAGCCAAAGCCTGCTGTCCTGCGGCAGCAGCCCTGGTCTCATCTGGGAATCTGTAGCAGTATCAGTCCTAAGGGCCTCGCGCAGCCTCTCTGAGTCACCAAGTCCAGAGGCAGAATCCAGAAACCCATGTTTTTATTTTATTTTATTTTATTTATTCATTTTGGCACAAATGGGGATTGAACTCATGTTTTTAGAAACCCTCCAGGCTTGTAAATTTGTAAAATTTTACTAAATTTGAGAAAGACCCATTTAGAATTTTTAAGAATTTAGTATCTATTATTTATCTGGAATTACCTTAGTTGCCTTTTACAAATGGGCGTTGATATTTTTAATGTAGGTAGTTAACCAACAACTCCTCAATTACGCACTAGACAAGCGCTAATTTTTCCTTTACCAGATATTCAAATTTCTTCTGCCATTCGATTTCCTTAGCAGCACTTGGTTTCAATGAATATCTGAAAGTCAAAATGACACTTAGTATGGTAAGTCAAACACAAATAAAATTCAAGGTATTTTATAATATATTTAACCATATCATATGCTTTATTTTTATTTCTATGAAGTAATTGATATAAAAATTAAGTATTTTAAGTTATTATGTTATTAATTTCAATAATCAAAGCATTACCACTTTAAAATATCATTAACTAATATGAGCAATGTAGTAATAATTATATATAATACATATTCATTTATACTATTTACCTAATTTAAGGGATATGACAGTATATTAACAATTATAGCTAAGAATAAAATTTCAGATTTCTACTCTCTCCCTATCTATCCCTAAGATTCAAGTAGCTGCTAAAGTATTATTAAGCAAAAGAAAAGAAGACTAAGTGGGAGAAGGACTATCTTATAATTAATACTCGTCTTTCATTATACTTCATTTGCTCTTACTTGACTCCTAATTAAAATAACATGGACAAAAGCAACAGTTATAAGCCATGGATGACGAGTTCTCTCTCAGAAGCAAGGTAATAGCTATGACACTGATTCTAGGTCCTAGGGTCCTATACTGACTTTGCAAAATAGGATCATACATCATGACTCTCACAACAAGCTGAAAAGAATAAAAGTAATATGAGTGAAAGGGACTTAATAGACCTAGAATAGAAAGTTCAAGAGCCACAGGAAGATAGCTGTGAAGTAGAACGCCCAAGCAAAGTTAAATAAAAGATGAAGAATAAGGAAAAGGCTTTCATTTCAGAGTGCTATTGTGAGCTCCGCTCACTGACAACTTCTGGGTAAGTGGATTACTGGTCGCACAAGCCATTGTTAGTATGGATGTGTTGTATGGCGATTTGACGCCAGCTTAACTCACTTTGTCTCTGTTAAACCAAATTAGCTACTGCATCCATGAAGACTATTGAACATTCTGATATTTACCTCATCTATAAAATTTATCATGGAATGCTAAATATATTATTTTTTAAAACTCATTTCCTTTATGTAACCTCTATACCATGATTTTAAATGTATTTAAAGTTATTTTAGTCTCCACAATTCAAATAATGATGTCCTCAATGTAACTCAAATTAAGCACAATATTGTGTATGATTTTGCATACTGCCTTAGTATAATGCTGTCTTACATTGGGTTACTAATACCTAAGTATGTATCTAATGACATGTACTTTCAAACATTCTCTGCTATGTAAAAAGAAAAGAAAACATAGCCAGGGTTAATGTAGCTATTAAAATAAATTCTATAATAGTAGAGATTTTATTGCATAATTGGTTAGTTTACTTATAAAAAATTGTTTTATGTCAGTCATTTTAAGAAACATTTTGAAAGCTGATGTTGCTGTTCTCACTGGTCTCTTAAGTGAAAAATACCTGCAATCTCAACTCCACTTTTAATGGAATGTTCTAGAAAACATATACATGTACTTTTCTGAAAGAGTATTCTGAAAGGAAGAGAAAAGTTCTTGAGGCTTTCTCTGAACTCTTTCCCCCTCCTTTATTACAGGTACCCATTTTTCAGCAGTATTGACTTTTTAAAACAAAAGAATGGATTTCTTAAACTCTTCTGATCAAAACTTGACCTCAGAGGAACTGTTAAACAGAATGCCATCCAAAATCCTGGTGTCCCTCACTCTTTCGGGGCTGGCACTGATGACAACGACCATCAATTCCCTCGTCATTGCTGCAATCGTTGTGACCAGGAAGCTGCACCACCCAGCCAATTATTTAATTTGCTCCCTGGCTGTCACAGATTTCCTTGTCGCTGTGCTGGTGATGCCCTTCAGCATTGTGTATATTGTAAGAGAGAGCTGGATTATGGGGCAAGTGCTCTGTGACATCTGGCTGAGTGTTGACATTACCTGTTGTACCTGCTCCATCCTGCATCTCTCAGCTATAGCTTTGGATCGCTATCGAGCCATCACAGATGCTGTTGAGTACGCCAGAAAGAGGACCCCCAAGCAAGCTGGCATTATGATCACCATAGTTTGGATCATATCTGTCTTTATCTCTATGCCTCCTCTGTTCTGGAGACACCAAGGAGCCAGCCGAGAAGATGAGTGCATCATCAGACACGACCATATTGTTTCTACTATTTACTCAACGTTTGGAGCGTTTTACATTCCACTGGTGTTGATCTTGATCCTCTACTACAAAATATACAGAGCAGCAAAAACACTATACCACAGAAGACAAGCAAGCAGAATTGCAAAGGAGGGGCTGAACGGTCAAATCCTTTTGGAGCGTGGTGAGAAAAGCATTAAGATGGTGTCCACACCCTACATGCTGGAAAAATCTTTATCGGATCCATCAACAGACTTTGATAAAATTCACAACACAATGAAAAGTACCAGGTCTGAATTCAGGCATGAGAGATCTTGGAGAAGGCAAAAGATCTCAGGCCCAAGAGAACGGAAAGCAGCCACCACCCTGGGGTTGATCTTGGGTGCATTCGTAATATGTTGGCTGCCATTCTTTGTAAAAGAATTGGTTGTGAACGTCTGTGAAAGGTGTAAAATTTCTGAAGAAATGTCAAACTTTTTAACCTGGCTTGGTTATCTCAACTCCCTTATAAATCCACTAATTTATACAATCTTTAATGAAGATTTCAAGAAAGCATTCCAAAAACTTGTGCGATGTCGGTATTAGTCTAAAGCAAGTTTATTATTACTAAAGAATAAAGTTTTCTATCAAGGAGAGCAACTAAATGAATATTATCTAGTAAAATATTTACACAACTAGAGGAAATATATTACAACTGCTAAAATGGATCAGAACATGATTTATGTTTTAATAACACTATGAATACAAAATTTATTAATTTTATCATCCTAGGAAACCTTAAATTAGAAAATACTATATGCAGATTTAAAATAATATTTTTGCCTATGCAATGTATTGAAAAAATTAACAGATAGCGATTTTCCTGATCTATATATTACAACAAGTGAGAGGATTTTCATTTAACTGCAACCTTCTCTCTATAATTTCTATGTAACTATTGTTTTATTATGCAATTTTTATTTTATAGAAAAGATGTACTTCATCACTATGCGCACACTTCTTGTTCTTCTCCATCTCGCCCTATAACAAAAGGAGAGGGATGAGATAACAACTCACACTTACTGGGAATGGAGTAAATACCAAGGTCAGACACAATGCTATGGTCTTTGTGTTTCGTTAGTAAGGAATTACTATACCGTGGGCAGGCTATGGCAAAGTAATTCTTGATACTAAACTTCTGCATATTCAGTATATTCTCCATGTTTAATGTAATAGCTGGAAGAATGCTAACAACATCCTATAAATATTCAAAATCAATGTCTTAGCCAGAGATGGTTTGGGAACAAGTTCTTACAATTGTCGCTTGTTGACTTAGGAGTCAAATTTAAGCCATTAAATGTCCTATGTGATTTCACGATAGTCACATTTTTAATGTCTTATTAAAAAGATAAACTATATTTTGTTTTGTTTTATATAAGCCTAGTGATTGTGTTACTTTATACTTCATCTTCATACTTTTGACTTTAACATTATTACCTTTATTTATCAGAGTTCCTTCAATAAGAATTCTTAGAATTTTCCACTGAATTTTTAAAAATCTAGTGTTCTAGTTGGTGGAAATGGCTCACATTAGGGAAGGCTTAGGATAAAGACAGACCATTTTTCAGACCATGTGATTTTTATTTTTAAATTTTAATTTTGTGCATATTTTAAAATATACTTTCCTAATAGGGTTCTTAAGTATGTAGTACATCAATTTTTTTATATATCTATGACTCTTTACTCCCAATTAAACAAATATTTACAGAATTTCATTTTATATGAGGTATTGAGACATGTACTATTTAGAAGATATAGGAAATTAAAATATTATTTATGCATTTAATAAGTTCACTATATGAACACAAAAAGAAAACTATAATAAAAAATGCAGAGCCTCAGGTAAGGAAGTTATTTACATAGTTATAATGATACAGAGGAAACAATAACAATATCTGGTTGAAAAAAATCAGAAAGAATTCATAAAGACTATACGCAAAATGAATAGCACTTAGGCAAGAAAAATGGAAGAGCATACTGCAGGAAGTGACAACCTCAAGAGTTCAGGCTGCATCGTACAAGTAGTTACGGAACATGTATGTGAAGTAGTACTAAGCATCGTAGCTATTCAGAATAACCACAGAGAGGAAGATCAAAAGAAAAATAGCAAGCATTTTTATGGCAGATTTAATGTCAAAAATAGAAATCCATCCATTTTTTTTTTCATTTAGTGATCTCTCGTTGCAAATTTGGGGGGAAAAATCTAAGAAAAAATGTCTGACCAGATTTGAGCACAGAGCTGGGAATGGCGGTGCCTGCCTGTGATCCCAGCACTGGGGAGGCTGAGGCAGAAAGATTGCTGTGGCTTTGGGACCAGCCTGGGCTACAAAGTGACCTTAAGGTCAGCCTGCACTACATAGTGAGACCCTGTCTTAAGAAGAAACAGGGGCCAGGGAGATGGCTCAGTGGAATAAGGGCTTCCCTGGCAAGCACAAGTGCCTGAGTTCAATCCCTGGTTCTGCCAAAAAAAAAAAAAAAGAGGAAACAAAAAGGATTTGAGCAGAGAGGTTAGTGGAGATGATGACTTCTTGTCAAGAAGCAAAGCCATAATCATTAAGAGACTATAAATTCTGGACTACCTTCTGGCATTGGAATAAAAAGAAATAAACAAATGAGAGACGCTGTGAAGATGGCAACCACAGGTTACAGCAAACATGTTAGTATGCAGATGAAAGGGGAGATATAAGTTACTAAAGTAAGGTCACGCAGAACTGAAATAAGGAATCCAACAGAAGAGATCTACTGTTGAAATGAAGACTTCCTGTGGGAATATGTTAAGTATATTCAAAGCGTATTGAAGTTCATAGGCACTACTGACCACTCAGGAAAATTAACAGGTAGATGAGTTTTCTCTCTGAACTTGAAACTAAAGGAAGCTCTTTGCTGTACATTTTGTTCTCACTCTAATTTACCTCCTCAGACCCTTAAACTCTGTTGATGCAAGCCTACTGTAAACCCTGCCATTTCTACCTTATTTCCTTTCCCTTCCCCCGTACCAGGGATTGAACTGAGGACCTTGCGCTTGCCAGGCAGGATCTTAAGCTGCTGAGCTATATTCCCAGCTCCCTTTCCTTTTTGACTTACTAAACTTTGATTTCTGATCTATTCTTTTAAAGACCTTGCTAAAGTTAAAATAATCTGTTACTATTTTCTTTGTTCCCTTCTTACAAATTTATATATTTATACTGGGGAAACTCTAAGAGACCCAGAAAATCGACACAAAGGAACAAATTTCAAGCTGGGGGAGGCTCACCCAAATACAGAGACCGTATTTGGTCTGAATTGAACTGAGGCTCTAATGGAGAAAAATAGGACCATATATGACAGGGAAGCCACACCCCCTCCAGAGCACAGGGGTAAATCAATTTTGGCTTTCTTATGTGTATGAAACGAAAGGAGGATCTACAACACTCCACAATAATTATCACTTGACCTATGTTTTGCCTCCACTTGCTGGGGTTACAGCTCCTACCATCCTTCATGAATGAACATGAAGAGTATTTCTTTAATATATTTGGATGTAAGCAATGGAAAGATTAATAATCTGCCATTTGCACTCTCTTTGAAATTTATACAAAATACATTCCACTTCACTAATAATATAATTTAATCTCAATGAAAATATTTCCAAATTATTAAAAGTTGATGATTTTTTCAGTAAAAATTCTACATTTATAGTAAATGAACCAATATAGTGATTCATATATAACTAATAGTTTATGAAGAAAAGATGAATATTATAGAAAGAGATTAAATATGAGAAGTAGAAGTTTAGCTCCTGCTAGAATTTCAATATAATGGCACCAAAATATTAAGTGAAAATCTTAATTTTTTTCCTGTTAATCTTTTTAAGTGAAAGATAAAAGCAAGGACAAGAGACAAAAGAAAAGATGATGTCTAAGGAACATAAATACTCTGGTTTCTCGTCAGATCCTATAAATCTTTCACCTTTTTTCTAAGGAACATGTACTAATTTCAGTCCAATACTCTATTGTTGGCTAGAGTTACAAACAAACTATGCAGGAAAATTCACTTCATGGACCATATGACAGTATGGTCTTCATTATAGAACTCATTTAAAGGTATGAATCACTAAAAATTTTAGCATTTGCTTCATATTGTTTTGTCTTATAATCAGTCCATCAGGTTAAATCCAAAGCACAAACAGGGCCAATCTTTCAGTAAAAAACTTTTTTTTAAATATTCCAAAACTTATTCTAATTTCTTTTCTTGAGTTTGATTCTTCAGGCCTCCCGGTTCCTTTCTCATATTGCTTTTCTAAAGTCACAAATTAGTTCCTTAAGCAGAGCATAATCCATACTCAAGGATCAATTTTAATCTTATCTTCCTTCCATAAGTTTTTATCAAAAGCAAACAGAGAGTTACATGGAAGCTAATTACAAGGAAATGTGTTGATTTGTTCCAAATAGCATGAAATAGGAAATGATTGTAAGTTTATTGCTGAAATGTGTTCTCATACTTTAAGGAAGAAACTTTTCTTATGCATTTATATGAGACTGTTTTTGACTCATATGCCAGAGGATCGGGTGTACTGTACTGCAGTAGAAAGGAAATGTGAAGCGTTTTTCCTTCGTATAACCCAAAGTCCTTCCAAGCAATCTTACTTCACTCAAAATGTGACTGTACTGATGTATTTTAATGTCTTCCTCACAACCGAAGTGATTACATTAAACCCTTATTTTGCCAGAAATGTTCTAGAAGCAAATTAATGTTTTTTTTCAATTCATAAAGTGCTTTTCTTATGACACTGTGATAATTTTCTTGTTGTTTTGAATAACTATGTTTTTTCTCATTTAAATGAGAAATATTGCTGGAGGAAATATTTTTCAACATGATAATCATATTTACTTATTTATGTAGAATATCTCTGTCCATAATGTGTCAATATTTGAAATCCACTTAAGAAAGACAAAAGTTTTTCAAAGAATTGATAACGTCTGATCAGGTTAAGAACCATATAAGCTTTGTTTGAGAAAAAAAGTATGAGAGCAATAATAAATACTTTAGCAACAGTAATAATAAATCACTTTCAAAATACTCTTTTGCTAAATCTTTTGCTTAATCTCAGTCCCAACTTTATCATGGAGAACTTTCACCTCTGCAAGAACAATAAAATGATCTTATTGGTAAATATAGATATAGCAAAGCTTTCCATGTTTCTTCTATTCTCCTCAGTATTTTCATAATATTAATAGTCATAAACTATTTGCACTCAATACTCATATACAAAAATTACACTTATAGTTCATAGGTTGTTTTACTATTGTGATGTAATTATATTATATGGCTGGGTCAATTATAGATTAACTCTTTTAGCAGAAGAGCAAATTTTCTGTAACCCACTTACTTAACAGAGGAAAATCTTGCTTACCCTCCTGTCTCCACACATAATAACCGCATCCTTTTTGTATTAGTTGGCCTGGCTAGAATTGAACTCTATCACAATCCAAACAGAGAGGATGTGTGTTCAGGTATGTCAGTGTTTATGTCCTTTTGCAAAGCAAGCTGATGTTAATAAATGAACT